CAAGGCAACAACAGAAGGGTGCATTGAGTCGGTGCAGAACTATAAATCTGCCTTAAGTCAATTCTTTATTGTTAGATTGTGTGCAAAGGCCAACTTGTATAACAGATCTTCACAGGTAGCAGTGCCTCTAGTTAGCTTCACCACCAATGACATCAGTTGCAAAGTATCAATTACATTATTTTAACGCCATCAAAATTGTGAAGCAACTTTGAGAATCTTGAAAACCATAATATGCGACTCATTTTTTATTATTATGTCAACAGTAGGCTACAAAATTAGGCCCAAACCAAAACTAAACCAGGTTTGAAAAGTGCATTACCTAAGTTTTTGGTCGAGGGTCCGTCACCTGCTTGTTTCTATGGAGATGTCATAGGTTCCAGAGTATGACATTAAACAGCTCTAACTTACATTTATTCAATTACAGGTGGCTTTATAGCTGGACTGTGAGCGGGGTCACCTCTCCACAGAGCTGACATGGAACGTGGTCTGGTTTGGTCTCCATAAAGATAGAAAGGTTTAATGCCGAACTGTGAAACATTGCAGATAAAGCAATAACATCTTTATGGAGAAAAGCATTTGACATTCCCTCCACCAGAAAAGTTACACAATGAACCTTTAAGTAACATATTTAGCTAATTATAAACTAAAGAATACGTTGCCTGCTCCCACGTTCACAGTGGCTCAGCCTCTTCACAGTCTGCTTTGGGCTTTTGAATCAGTTTTCCGGAGCTTTTTGACTGGGAGCATGGCGTAAACAAGGACATGGTGGGAGTCTGGATCACACTTCACAATTTGGATAAAAGTCTGAAAACCTGTTAGAGCATTACTCACCCAAACTGCACAGCGTGTCTCAAAAAGCAATTAAAATTACACATATGCTGCTATTGAAATTACTAAAAGAGATCTTAAAGGTACACAGCCTAACTTACTATCTGAAACCTGCTTGAGTCCTTGAAGATGTTGGGTTTTTTTTTCTACAGTATGACATTTAATTCTATCTTCATGGAAACATCACCAGGCAAAGGCTATGGTTACACTGAAACAAATCACCGTATCACTGTATTGGAAACGATTTGCCTCCAGACAAGTGGTTTCGGTGTCTGCCTTCCCTATCCATACAGCTTTGCGCATATTTGTTTACGTTTTACAGAAACAGAAGTTAAATTCACATGGCTAATTTGCATAAACTGAGCGTTCAAACTACACCTCACTCCTTGTGCTTGCTCCCAGTTCAGCTTCTCACAGACTAAAGGACACGACGCAGTGGAATATATGTGTTATTTCTGTGACAGAGGGATGTTCTGCTGATGGTGAGTCTGTTCTGTGCTTCTGTCGCGTTGGAGATGTTTCATGTTCAACTTTTCAGCAGTCATATGCATAGAACTATAGAACTATACTTCGCCCTTTAACGCAAAACCGCCTGAAATGCTAGAAAGTTGCAGCAGCCGATTTCGAGCCGAGGAAGATGGCAAGCGTTTTTTTGTGGACCATGTACTAGCAAGTAGTTGTTTGTCTATGGTTTGTTTAAACTGGTTTCGCAATAGCGTCACATGACCGATGTCACGAACCCAGCGAATTAGGAAGGCGCAAATCACAGTGACGTCAGCGTATCAGGGTTTTCAGGCATCCACACAGTGCCAGATCAGATCTGTACTCAGATGAATTCGTGGGAGCTGGCGTCACCAGATCGTTCTGTCTCTGGAGCCGTTTTCCATCAGATTAGTGTGGGCGAACACTGCTTTTGCAATGAAAAAGACTCAAATGCTTATTAGTGTGGATGGGGCCCAAGTTAACAGTCAGATCTGTGGAGAAGTAAGCCCACTCATGTTATTAATGTAGTTTTTGTGGTAGTTTTGAGAAATAAAAAACACCCATGATTGAATAAATACAAGATCAATTTGTTTAATGCCATATTGTGGAACATCCCCAAAAAAGCAATAACATGAGGATGAGAAGTTGTAATTTCTTATTTTGATTATTGGTCTTTGTTGTGAGTTTTTTCCCCCTCTTAGTGACATAAGATTAAACTTTGTTCTAAATTTTCCACAAACATTCAAAAGAAGAATTTACAAATGTTGAAACTGATCATTTAAAATGAAAATAGGACTAAATTGTAACTGAATCCGAAGTTAATCCTGGACTATATCAGAACTAAACCAGGACTACAACAGGACCAATGTTAGACAGACACTGCATCAAAATTGGGATTACACTAAAACTAATCCTGGAGCTAAATCTGGACTAAACCAGGACTAGAACAGAACCAAACCAAGTCTACATCAGGACTAACTAGGCTAAAACCTGAATCAAAAATGACTAGTATGAATACAGCCTTCTTAGTGACTAGGTCCATTATTCCACAATATTTATCTAAATCACACCAAATTACACAACAATAGATTTACCTTGTCTTATCTCAGTTAAAGATAAAGATTATGTAATTGTTGGCACTGCAGTGGTCCAAACATTCTGGCATGGGAGGGCATCTGACACACTCACAAACAAAAGTTCATGTTAATGAAGTAGTCTGGACGCCTGCAGGGTCTCATGGTGGAACAGACTTGTTTGTTCTGTCGGAATGAGGAGCCGGAGGCTCTGAGACCTTTGGGACCAGTCCTCAACTTCAGCCATCTGCCACTTTGTCAAATGTCTATTGTTATTATTATTATTATTGGGTTAACCATTGTGAGAATTGTACAAGATATGTAATAATGATAAAGAAAAGTTTAAGATTGCAGATTCTGTTGCTGAAAAGATAAGAAAATGAAAATCAGTTGAAGATTTAAAATAACATACATTGGTTATTTTGAGAATAAGGCCCTGGTCTTAAGAGGTTAAAGCACTTTTCTTTAAATGGCTCATACTTTAGTTTAATACTTCAATAGAGACAAGCAGGTGATGTCAGACCAAGTTACATATCTATGAAGAAGCAAGCTAGCTGACATTAAAGAGGGTATTATGCAAAATTTGTTGTTTTTAGCTTACTACAATATTATAAAGATGTATCCTCATCCAAGGTTTTAGATCCATGCAGTTTTCAGTAATTTAGTAATCCAATGCTCAACCCACAAACCTACGTTATCCATGCTCCCACACGACAATTCTCCATAAATATACAAATGCGTGACACAAAACTGTACACATCAACTAGCGCTCTGAAGAGGGAGTGGCATAGCACAGAGAGCAGGTGGGAGAGATTCAAAGCATCAAAAACAAAGTGAAACTTATTAAACATGGTGAAACATGGCATTTCTGCACACAAAGTAATTGAATAGATACAAGATATATATATTTAAAGCCACTCTATGGAACATCCTAGGTAACGCAAGAATATCCTCATGGAGACAAACATGTAGCGGACCTCCTACCAGAAAACTAAGTACTTTACATACACCCCAATAAATGTTAGAAACCAGAAGGACTAAACAAGAACTCAACAATAATGAGAGTGTAAAAAACCTAAACCAGGACCAATATCCAAAATAAGTATCTGAAAAGAATAGGGGTGTGCAAAAATATCAAAATAACGATCTATTGTATCATTTAATGTGATGATACAGTATCGGTATCATGGGCTGCTGTATTTATATATTGCCAAGAGTATTTTTTTGTGTATTTTACTACATTATTATTATTATTATTATTATTATTATTATTATTATTATTATTATTATTATTATATTATATTTATTTATTTTTATTTTTTTTACAGCTCTACAGTTTTGTTGCTTGTTTGAAGGAAGGAAACTTGTTTATGTAACACATTTGACATTTTCACTGTTATGATGAGTAAAATGTGTGTGTTTCAGATGAACTTTGCACAAGAACTGGGTTAAAAAAGACTTTTAGTACCACAGCCATGATTTAGCCCTTATTTTCATTGAACCATTTCAGATCATTTTGAAATATATTGTCAAATCAATATCAAATCGAGAGTGCACTGTATCGAGATATGTATCGTATCATGGCCTATGTATCAAGATATGTATCGTATCTGTGGAGAGATGACCCTGTTCTTTATGTTGGTTTTGTATTTTGTTTTGTATTTTTTGACAAGCAAGTAGCATACCCTACGCTAGAAAAGCTACATAGTGCATCTTTAATTAAATACAATGTGGTGTAAGTTGCAGTCTCTCTCTTTTTCTTTCTCACTCTCTCTGTATTCGTTCTGCTATATTTTTAACTGTAATGTCTTGTATTTTCACAGTGCCATCACGGCGCTCAGACTAAACCAAAGTGAAGGGAACACAGCCTCTCATTTTGGGTTTAGCGTAGTTAGCGTCAGAACGCTAACGTACAGTAAAATCAACCTGCCCCGAGGCCTCACACAGTCGCGGCAGATACATGAAATCCCAGAGCAATACCTTAATTTAATCCTATTTCATTTTGTGTTGAACTCATGTGAAGTGACAGAATTTGGAAATAATGTCTAGAAAGATTAGTCTGAGGTTTTAAGCCAGTTAAAGGTGCTGCACCTGTTTTGTACTGATTTGTAAAACAGGAAAAATAGAACTAGTTCATTTTAAAGAGTTTGCAGTGGTCCAAAGTTGTTCCTCACTTACCTTATGCATTCAGAGCACCCTAATTATTCACCATGATGAGTTTATATCCTCTTTTCACAACTTTTAGAGATCAAAGTTTTGCCTTGACTGAAAAACAACTAGCATGCTTATTTGCACTTCCTCAGACAATAAAAGTATTTCTAGTTAGACACAGACATCATGCAGCAGACTTATTTTGGCCTCAAGAGCTGCTTATACAATATATCTGTAGTGTGGCAAGTCAAAAATTTCTCAAATACATGTGAAAAACAGGCTCTTTAAATACTGCTTTAGTTTTTGTTTAGTGAAATAGTTAAAAGTTCAAAGTGTACAGAATGACTACACCTAATCTAGACCCCAAAGTAGCTCTAAGCACATTTTCAAAAACTCTCTGGTTCTGAACTTCTCTGTGGTTTGTTTCTCTCCTCAGTGAGTGAAATGGCGCTGCTCTGACCCAAAATGGCGGCTGAAGCCAACACGTCAGGGGCGGAGCCGGACGGGACATCGTCATGGCCACCGGCGAGCGCTGTCCCCACGGTGACGTTCGAAGGCATGAACTTCCCGGAGGACACCATTCGGCTACTCAGTGTGCAGGTAACAAACTACAGTACTATTACACTGCAAAAAATAAAATCTAGCCAAGATGACTTGAATTAAGACAGTTTTATCATGATATGAGTAAATTTCACTTGACAAGTAAAATTATCCATCAACGGAACAAGACTTTTTGTAGTTAAATATATATTTGTATATCTTGCTACACTTAAGATAGGAAAAACAACAACTCTTTGCACTTAAAATAAGACACAAAATCTAATGTTGCTTGAATGAAGAAAAACATACTTATTCCATTGGTAGATCATTTTACTTGTCAAACTGAATCTACTCAAATAAAGTAAAATGTTCTTAATTTAATAATCTTAATTTAATTTCAGAAGTTCTTTTCACGTGACGACCTTCTACACTCTAATCTATAGTTTAAACTGAGCTAGAGGACAGGACACAACACTATGGTGGAATTTGCTGTCAGATTGCAGATTTGTTTATGTGATTTATTTTTATCTCTGTAATTACTGGATCTATCCACATGAGACAAAACCTGGCACAAATTTCAATGTGTTCTGTCAGCATAAAAATAAACAAAAGTGACAATATTTTTTCCGCAAAACTTCAGAAGTTGTTGTATTATTCAACCTCAAAGTAATGACTGTTGTTATTTGAATTCCTAATTAGATTACCTTAGATTTTTATAATAATACTACTACTAATAACACTATTAGTATAAGGCGTATTGCTTTTCTTGATACTCAAAGACGCTTCACACAGTTCAAACTGACAAAGCACAGTGAATAAACAGATAAAAATGAGATGCCATTATGTTTGATTTTTATTGTTATTGTACAAAATACAGTGAAACTTAAATAGAGCAAATACATTTTTTCTTTCAGTGGTATAATGGTAAAAGTTTAATATGTCAAGTGTTCTGAGACAGGGAAGTTTAACTGGAGACTCCTGTCCTAGAACGTGAACACAATGTCCTGTAGCCTCTGAGTAACCTGCAGAGTTTGCTCACTGACACATTTATACTTTCTGTTCTACGTTAACTCTCAGCAGTAACATGCAATTCCGGCTTGTGTCCACAGGTGGTGCTGATCCTGGCCTACAGTACCATAATAGTTCTGGGGCTTATGGGTAATTCTCTGGTGATTTATGTTATTTACCGCTTCAAGACGCTCAGAACCGTCACCAACTTCTTCATCGCAAACCTGGCTGTGGGTACGTACATATTTAAAGAGGGAGTGTAAGGTGAAATCAGTTCTTTCAACTTTTTTTTTACTGTCAGTAGCAGAATGCACGCTGATTGTGTTGTGATAGCCAAGTCTTTGAAGGGGGAGTGACTTAGTGTAGAGAACAAAGGGAGGGTTACACTCAGTGTCAAAAACTAAAGTGTAACCTAAAAAACATGTTAATGCAATGTTTTAGGCAAAAAGAGCACTTTCAAAACAATAAAAAGTAACATGGTGCCCCAGAATACCTCCTCTTTAAGTGTCATCACAGAATAGCATCCTCAGTTTTTATAGACCTGCTTCAGATCTGAGCCAGGATCCAGGCTCTATTCATGCTTTTTCAGAATGATGGAAAAATTAGGACTATTGCCATAGTAATGAACAATTTACACAAAATATTGTATCTTTTGAATGGTAAAAGGTCCTCAAAATGTTGAAGAAATAAAAGAGGAGGCGACCTTGCTGGACCCTGCAGATCTGTATTCAAATTCAACCTTGAATCAGAACTTTTTAATAATGTCACTTTCACTGAGGCATAAAACACAACTGGGGACATTTTTAAAATCCCCTGAAGCCCAAGAAATAAACGAGAAACTCCACTCTGAATTTTAAACCCGAGGAGATGAGCACAAACTGTGAAAATTATGCTAAACCATGCCTGCAAATATGTATTTTTTCTATTTGGCAACAAGATAATGGTCCCAAAGTGAGGGCTGTAAGGTCACCTAGAAGATATAAACTACTACTTTATTTTTACGACTTATGTTTACTACTTTCTACATTTTATATTTAGGGATGACATCAAATATATGAAGTAATGTAATATATATCAAAAGCCCTATATCATATGTGGTGGTAATTAAAGGTCCTATACCCAATTTTTCCCAATATATTTGAGGTCTTCCTCAGTACAGATATAGTGTTTAACCCCGGGCTCAGACTGCACGCCGGTCAGGTCAGCTGTACCACGGCACGGAGGATTAATTCAGTTGGATTCTATTTTTCAAAACTTCACTCTTTCTGAAAGTTGTGAAAACTCATTGTTTTGAATAATTAGGATGTTCGGGATGCATAAGATGGGTGATAACTTTGACCACTGGAACTGTTTACAGTGAAACAGATCTGACAGTAATAATCAGCTACAGTGCCTTTAAATAAGACTTGGTTAAATAGAATGTGATTTCTTTTGTCTTATATGTGTCCGAGAGCGGCTGTCAGCCTGTTGCTCTGTCATGGTGCAGACATCAGAGCGCCCCCTGGAGCTGAATGTGAGTCAGCAGCTGTCAGCTCAGATCTGAACCAGGACTGAAACAAGCTTTGTCTCTTTCACACTCTAAGATCAGCAACAGCAGTGTTTCACACGACATCACACCATTGTACAGACCAATCAAAAAAAAATAAAAAAAATAACTATATATATAGATAGAGAGAGAGAGAGAGAGAGAGCGAGAGAGCCTGGAATGTTACAGAACATCATTCAGTTATAAAAAGAACAGAGCATGTACTTCTCCAATTGGTTAATCTGCCTGTCCTTCATGTCCACTGAAAATCTGAACATCTTGATAAAGTATTTTTAAACGTTTGTGGTCTTGGTCTGTTTTGTAGCATTAACAACATTAACTGATGAAACACAGGGAATAACCAGAACCTGTGGAACCAGAAGTGAATCAGCTTATTTGTAAAAGTCATATTCTCTGGAGTTCACTTCAGGAAACATGCCCTTTGACCTTTGACCTCCACTGTTTTAGAGAAGGTCGCCCTGCCAACTCATTTTATTCTCAAAATGCCTGACCCCCATAAATCAGGACTAAACATGTAGAACTACACCAGAACTAAATCAGGACTAAATCAGGACTAAACCAGGACTGAACCAGGGCTAAATAAGGAGGACTATACCAGAACTAAACCAGAGATAGCACAAGCCAGACCTAAACCACATGTTTGCTGCAGGATTTCCTTGACAGTATGAGTGACAAGGCCGGATCTATTTTCTGTGGCGGATTAAGCCACTTCCCAGAGTGTATCATGTACAGTGAGACAGATGTTATAACAGATGTTGTATCCTCGAATGACTCCAGATTAAAAATGAATCAGAGTTGTGATTTCTGTGAATGAGACACATTCTGAGAAAATAACTGTTATGTACAGTAAGATTCTGTAAAAATGAAAGAAAATGGGATTATCCTGTTTTTTTTTGGAAAAAGTGTTTCTATAAATATGTTGAGAGATTTCCTTTTGTTGTGGCTACTACTACTACTACTTCTACTTACTTCTACTTACTTCTACTACAACCAGGAATGGACAAGGACCAAAACTTGAACTAAAACCAGAACTATGACATAAGACTAAACCATGATCAAAGTAGGACTAAACCAGGACTAGATCCGGTCAGAACCAGAACTAAAACAGGTCTAAAACCAGAACTATGAACCAGGACTAAACCACATCCTAAGAAAAGACTAAGCCAGGATTAAACCAGGACTAAACCAGTACTTAATCAAGTCAAAACCAGGACTAAACTAGTACTTGATCAGTCCTAAACCAGGACTAATCCACGAATCCACAAAGACTTAGTTTTGACCCAGAGCTCTTTTAGTGTTTGAATTTTTGTGTTGATTTTCAAAGAAAGCTTGGGACATTTGTAATACAGCAGCAAATTGGACACTTGATCACCTCGGGCTGTTTTTAATCAAAGTAAATAAAACAGCACTTTTTATGCTTTTGAGGTTTGCAGTGGTAATAATGCCATTTTAATTGTGTGGCCTTGAGCACTTTGCAAATAAGAGCTGGTATTTGTAGTTAATAAAAAGGTATAAATGTATTCTGACATTTTGAAGGCGTTGTACCTGATAAAATGTGAAAAACATTATAACATTCATTATAAATGTTTTTCAGTTTTTCAAAGTTTTTCCTCACTCACATTCTGAACATCCTAATTATTCAAGCAGCATTTGGAGACCACAGCAGAAGAGAAACCTTTCCTGGCCAGCCAGAACCCACTTTTTTTTTGTTTTTGTACAAATTTTACAAAGACGAGTGAATCTGAAGGTTTATCCTGTCTCCCTTATTTCAGAGGGTGTGATTGACAGGTGGATTAACCAATCAGAGAGAAGCATGGTCCATCCACATCAAAAAGAAAGGAGAAAAAACAACATAAAGAGCTGAAAAAGCATAGATTTATTATCTCAGGTAAAAGAAGTCATATATTTTGTTCTGAATAATACAAAAGAGATGTCTTCCAGATTTGAGAGGCACGAGATATAAATTAGCTGCTGTGGCTGGATCATCTCAAGCTTGGACAGAAGTTTTTCCACCCTCTACGGTAATGTAGAAGGGACTGGCTGGTCAGGCAAGACTAATGCCAGACGTACACTGTGCGATATTTTTCGATTGCTTCATTCAGCTCCAGCTCAAACTGAACGACCAAATCGCAGGGTTTAAATGTTCACAGCTCATAATTCATGTTCTCACACTAAATGATCTGATGCTCGAATGCGAGGAGTGACTGGATTTCAAACAGGTTTGATATTCTTGCGACCTTCGTTTGCCGATCAGGAGCTGGTAGAGAGGTATTAATTGGTTCTCGTTATCCCATGATTACTACACAAAGCACGATTAAAACTAAACTTGGCCCGATCCCAAAAGCAGTCGCACAAAAAAAAAAATCGCCTCAAAAAAGGGTCAAAAATTGCACAATGTATGCCCATCTTAAATCTATTCTACCCCAATCTTAGGCATGTTTCTGGTCTGGACTTGGATCTAACCCGGTTTTGGTCTGGTTTTGATCTGTTTTTAGCGGACCTGCTGGTGAACGCCCTGTGCCTCCCGTTCACACTGGTCTACACTCTTCAGGGAGAGTGGAAGTTTGGAAGTGTTTTGTGTTTTCTGCTCCCATATGCTCAAGGCCTCGCAGTCCACGTCTCCACGGTAACCCTCAACGTGATCGCCCTGGACCGCCACAGGTACTCAACCAGGACTAAATCAGGACTGGACCAGGACTGAACCAAGGCTGAAACAGGACCTAACCAGAATGCAACCAAGACTGAACCAGGACTGAAGAAAGACTCAATCAGGACCAGTTCTGAACATAGTCTTAACAGCATTTACCCAGGACCTAACCAGGACAGACCCAATACTGAACCACGTCTTAACCAGGATTAAAGTGGTTCAACTATACTACACTGGAACAAGAGTTGGTCCAGGACTAACCCAAAACTGAGCCAGGACTAGACCAGATGGAACCCAGATGGAATCAAAACTAAAGCAGACTAAACCATAACTAAACTAAGACTAAATCGGGACCAGAACTGACCAGAGATTAGACCAGGACCAATCCAGACCTAAACCCCCAATGATTGACCCAGAAATTAAATCAGGAATGAACAAAGACAAAAGTAAACCAGAACAGGGCCTGGTCTAAACAAGGACTGGACTAAGACTGAGCCAGGATTAAACCAAGACAGAACCAGGACTAAATAAACCAGGGGTAAAAACAAGACTGAACTTAAACTGGACCAGGACTAAACCAAGGTTAAAGCAGTACTATACCAAAGTCTACGCCTGGACCAAACCAGGACTAAGCAAGGTCTAACCTGGTCTTGTTTTGCTGCAGGTGTATCGTGTATCACTTGGAGACTCGCATGCGTAAAGATGTGTGTTTTGGCGTCATTGCTCTGACCTGGGTGCTCAGTGCGGTCCTCGCCAGCCCCCTCGCCATCTTCAGAGAGTATGGCTCATTCACACTGGACGGGCACACCATCCAGGTACTGTAACTACTACAAAGTACACACCATCCAGGTACTGTAACTACTACAAAGTACACACCATCCAGGATCTACCATTGTCCAAGATCCAAAATACACAAATTTATTAATCTGTTGAATCTCCCTTGTTATGACACAGCTCCCTTGGGGTAAGGGAAGTAACAAAAATAAACCAAGGTGGAAAAATTGAATAAATGAAGTAATGTTTAATTATCAGGAATGTAAAGGTAAAGTAACAAAACAGACTAATATACAGAAAATAATCTAAAGTAAGAAACAAAACAACAGACAATGAGTTTTGTGCCACAAAAGGGGTTACGCAGACTAACACAAATCGAGTGGTAAAACTAAGGGACACACACAAACCTAAACCACAAGTTCCGAAAATTAAACCACATAAACCTACAAACAGAATCGAGTGACCAAATTTTTAAAAAAGGCACAAAACAGAACTAAACTACAGAACTACACAGATGAACACAAACACAAAATGGCAGACTGGCCACCAAGAACAGCAGCCCTGAACAGCTACTGGTAATCTCCTTAAATAGGGGGCGGTGGCTGCAAGTGAGGTGGGCGTAGACATTCCCCACCAATCACGGGCCAGGGCTCCCACAGCAGGAATCAGGAGGACTCAGCAAAATAATTAAGAACACACAAAACAAATTAGAACTAAAGGCCTGGGGCCATAACACCCTGAGTCCAGATGGAAATGGGCATGATTGACAGGTGGATGAGCCAAACAGGACACACATGGTTTGTTCATATCAAAACAAGTATGGCTGCTAATAATTGAATGGTCAATACCAAAACTGGATTTAAGCCAGATCTAAACCAGATCTAGACCAGGACTAAACCAGGTCTAAACCAGGTCTAACTACAGTCCCCTGTCTCCTCAGGTGTGCACAGAGAAGTGGCCAGGCAAGAGCACAGATGGCACAATCTACTCCATCTCCATGTTGATTCTTCAGTACTTCCTTCCTCTCTCCATCATCTCCTTCGCCTACGCCCACATTTGGTCAAAACTCCGCGGACACGTCAGCCCCGCCGAAAACGCCAGTGCCAGCTCCGAACGACACCATCGAAGACGCAAAACCACCAAAATGCTCGTAACTATGGTGGTCGTTTTTGCCGTCAGTTGGCTTCCTTTCCACGCCTTCCAACTCGCCACCGATATTGACAGTTCGGTTTTGGATATGCGAGATTTCCGGTTACTCTATACGGTTTTCCATGTGGTGGCTATGTGTTCAACTTTCGCCAATCCGCTGTTGTACGGATGGATGAACCGGAATTACCGTGCGGCGTTCCTGGCGGTATTCAAATGCGCCGGAGCAGAGGCGGGGGGAAGAGGAAGGGGCGGGAGATTGGATAGCATTCATCCAATCAGCAACAAGAATCAGAAAAGTGGGCGGGACAAGAGTAAGAGTCAAAAGGAGACGCAGGAAGTGGCAGTGTCTCGGCTCAACGTAACTGATGTTTGAGGTGAGGAAGAAATTGGAAGCTGGACTAAACCAGGACTAAACCAGGACTAAACCAGGACTAAACCAGGACTTTTATTGTTTAAGAATCAGGAAATGCACTTTTAGCATGTTGTTAGCTTTATTAAAAGTTGTGAAAAGAGCTTATAAAGTCATCACAGAGAATAATTATGATGCTCAAAATGCACAAGGTAAGTGAAGAATAACTAGATCTTATCTAGATTTAGATAATTAATCTTGTGGAAATTGCAAAGATTAATTTTACCAAGTTTTCTTTGTTTTATTCCAGAGAACAAAGCCATCAAATCCAAGTCCAGGATTAGATCTGGATTAGACTGGGTTTTTCTGGAGGCAGAATCACAACAATGAGAAGGGAAATAGAAGAATAAAAGAGAAGAAGACAATATGGCCGACTAAAATAAACGAACAAAGATGGATTAAACTGACACGAGGAGACAGCTGAATGTTGGACCTCTGTTTGACTCTATCTGGAGGACTTTAAGATTTCTGTGGAAATTTCACCAGAAATCAAATTTAAATATTATCTTTTTCCGAATGATATAAACTTTTGATGGATCATGGCTCAAAATGTTGATGTTTTGAGGAATTTGTGACTGATAAAAGAGTGTAATTTTACTGAAGGTAATATTTGAAAGAGCAAACAGGAACAGTGCATTGGTTATATTATATTTCTTTTAAAAACGTTAACTAAAAAATAAGAATTGAAGGACTGAAACTGGTACTAAACCAGGACTACAGAATTAGGTCTTAATATGGGCTATGCCACGAATCAAGAAAATATGTTATACCTGATTTGGTAAATCAGGGCAACTATTTTGATAAAAATAAACATAGATACTGAAGACATAAATAGGAATTAATAATGGTATTTAACCAGGACTGAAGCAGGTCTAGTTCTGTAGGTCTAAACCAGGTTCAAAACCAGGTCTAAAACCAGTACTGAACCAGACTAAACCATGAATAAACTAGTTCAAAAACTGAACAAGGATTAAATTTATGGTACATTCTCACTGTTCGTGGTTTAGTTCAGGTTTAGTCCTGCTTTAATCCTGATTTGATCCTGGTTAAATCCTGGTTAAATCAGAACTAAATCAGCACTAAACCCAAACTAAACTACAGCTAAACCTGTTGAAAACGAAGACCCAGTCAAGCCTAATACAAGTCCTAAACCTACATTTGAATGACTCCATAAACCAGGACTACACTAAAAACTAGACCAGGACTAAGAATGGTCTGAACCAGGTCTAAACCTAGACTAAACCAGGACTAAAACTAAACCAATATCTTTGTTCCTGTCTGCTCTTTCAGACCGTATGTCGAAGGCTTCATCGTTGCATGAAAAAACTACAAGTGAAGAGATGCATGATGGGAAGTGTAGTCTGTGTGAACTACATATTTATGGGACTAAAGGGCTTTGTTTAAATATGTCCTTGTTTCGTTTTCCTTCTTCGTCTCCTAACATGTTTCCTATTTCCTAATTTGTTCAGAAGCTTTTCTCCTCCAAATATGCCAATTATTTTTAATGAATGTTGGCGGTGAAACTATCCTGGGTGCTAGACAGACCTTCCAAATAAACTATGAATTGGATTTTATTCTCAAACAAGCTACTAATTTAAACTTTTAATTAAATGATCACATCCCCCTTTCACTCATGCAGTTTGACGTATTAAAATGTATTCAAATTATAACAAACACACATTTTTGAACTGTTTTCATTGTCGTACAGCGAATTTTCAGTCCAATATTGAAAAAAAGTGACATTTTGGGAAGATTTGTAAAGGTGCAACTTTTTTGATGGAGGGTCTGCCACCTTTTTGTCTCCATGGAGATGTTACCTTATTTCCTTCAATGTTGTTAGTTCTTTTCTTTTTTTTTTTTTCAAGAGCCTCAAAACCCCAACAAGTGCCAGTGCCAATGGATTTTGTCTTTGATGTTGATGTACTAAATACAATGTTTGTTTTACATCAGGAGTCGAACCCTCAACCTCCTTATACTGAGAGGAGACAGGACAACCACTCTGCCACAGTAACAGAGGGAGAAACAGATATACTATTTGTATTTATTTTTATTTTTTACACAATGAATTGCTTATGTTTAGTTTTTCACAATTTGCTTGTTTGTTTTGTCAAGTTTAAAGCTGTCATTTTCATTCTGTTTTGTCTAATAACTGGACTTTAATTACCACTAATAAAGCATGAACGAAGACTGAAATCTTAATCAACAATTAGTTTATTAAGAATGACTCAGACGTAAAACTACTTGATGTGTACCTTTACCTTTCGCCTGAGATCCAGACACTTCTTCAGTACTTTACAAGAATGTGAGTCTGGTCATTGGTGAATCTCCTCAAGTTCAGATGGGCATGATTGACAGGTGGATTAGCCAATCAGGGACACGCATCGCCCGTCCATATCAAAACAAATATGACTGCTTGCAAGGAAAAAAGGGTAGCACTTTATAATAACTCCTCCTTATGAAGCAAATTAAGCATTAACATATATATTTATAAATGATTAACTGATGAGAAATAATTAAGAGTTAACAGTTTACTAATGATTAACAAATGTATTAAATAATGCTTAATAAATGCTTAATAAGGAGGAGTTATTATAAAGTGCTACCGAAAAAAGATAAAGCGATAAAACTTAGTGTAGTTTAAAGGTATAGTATGTAACTTTCTGAAAGTGGCATGCCACTTTCATGATTACATCGAAACAGAAAGTTAAAGCCATACTTTGGAACATTTTCCATGGAGATAGATACGTTTTTTGCCATATGTGTTTAGCCAGAGGAACAACATTTATATGGCCCCCTTCCAGGCAGGTCATGTTTGTGGAGATGCAAGCCCACTCACAGCGAGAACCCCTGTTTGGCATAAAACTTGCATAATTTGGCTTTTGAGTTCTCCATGGATAATTTTACATACATGAAAGTTACAAACTGTACTTTTAATTAAGAGTCATTTTTGATAAACCATGTGTTGATTATGAATAAAGTCTTTGTTCATACTTAATTAGAGCTTTGTAAAGTGTAGTTATTCTAATTATAAAGTGTTACTGTTTTATTGTGGGAGGAGCAGCCTTTTCTGAGACATGAATGTATGTGCTTAATGTGAACTCTTGTAAAGATTCTTGTAAATACTCAAGTGTCGTGTAACCAAGCACAAACTGTGGTCAATGTATTCTCAAGCACAACGCAATGTCCATGGTCTTTATTTCTCTGCCCCTGGGTTAGACCTGGTTTAGACCTGGTTTAGACCTGGTTTAGTTCTGGGTTAGGCCTAGTTTAGTCCTGCTTTAGTCCTGGTTAATACTGGATGAGACATTGTTTAGTCCTGGTTTGGTCCTGAGTTAGATCTGGTTTTGTCCTGGTTTAGTCCTGCTTTAGTCTTGGTTTAGTCCTGGTTTAGTTCAGGTTTAGTACTGGATTAGACCTGCTTTAGTCCTGCTTTGGTCCTGAGTTGGACCTGGTTTACTCCTGTTTTAGTTCTGGGTTAGGCCTAGTTTAGTGATGGTTTAGTTCTAGATTAGACCCGGTTTAGTCCCGGGTTAGATCAGGTTTATTCCTGCTTGGTTTAGTCCTGGTTTAGTCCTGTTTTGGTCCTGAGTTAGACATGGTTTTGTCCTGGTTTACTCCTGGGTTAGACCTGATTTAGTCCAGGTTTAGTACTAGTTTAGTACTGGATTAGACCTGGTTTAGTCCTGCTTTGGTCCTGAGTTAGATCTGGTTTTGTCCTGGTTTAGTCCTGCTTCAGTCTTGGTTTAGTCCTGGTTTAGTCCAGGTTTAGTACTGGATTAGACCTGGTTTAGTCCTGTTTTAGTCCTGCTTTAATCCTGGTTTAGTACTTGATTAGATTTGCTTTAGTCCTGCTTTAGTCCTGAGTTATATCTTGTTTTGTTCTGGTTTAGTCCTGCTTTAGTCTTGGTTTAGTCCTGGTTTAGTCCAGGTTTAGTACTGGATTAGAACTGGTTTAGTCCTGCTTTAGTCCTGGTTTAGTCCTAGTTTAGTACTGGATTAGTCCTGCTTCTTTAGTCTTGGTTTAGTCCTGGTTTAGTCCTGGTTTAGTCCTGCTTTAGTCCTGTCATATGCACTATAAGTCTAAGTTACTCGTGTAAATGTAGCTGAGTACTATGTCTTCCTGTTGGTGTTGGCGCTGCTGTTGTTGTGACCCAGTTTAAAGTGGAGCTGCTTCTGGACAAAAGTATTGATTCAACTTGTGGATGCTGATCTGAGCAGCACTAAAAGCCTCATCAGACGAACCATTCAGGCGTTCAGCTGTTACAACACTGTTCCCAGAGCTCAGAACTCACATGTTTTACAGCAGTTTTTTAGACCTGGTTAAAGTCCTGGGCTAGCTCTGGGTTAACATGGTTAATTTCTCATTTTGTACAGCGTCAAACCTGGCTTAGACCTGGTTTAGTCATGGTTTAGTCTTGGTTTAGACCTGATTCAGTACTGAATTCAGCTGTTAGATCACTGATGTTTATCCTATTTCTGATCTCAAATGTTTGATAACACCTCATTGGATTATATTTAAGTTTTCTGGAGTGGGGCCCACCACCTGCTTGTCTCCACTGGTGGTCTTCAGATTCCAGAATGTGATTGTCATTCTCAAAGAGCCAGATTTCTTTCTTTATTTAATTGTATTTTAATAGTAATATCAAAATGTAAAGTTACAAATGTTGAAAATGATTATTTCCATTATTGGCATTATTGACCAGACCCAATATCTGTATTAGGAAAAAATTGCATTTTAATAATATTAATTTCTGCTGCTCCCATCTGTATTAAATAGTATTATGGGCTTAGAGAATGTTTTCATGTGAAGCCAGGTAACAGGTCTAAACCAGGTCCAAAACCAGGCCTAAACCAGGATTAAACCAGTTCTAAAATATTTGTACAGCCCACGCTCTAGACCCTCTTTCTTGTTTCTGTGTAATGGGAGTCGTTGACCTCTCATTTACTCAGACCTTTCAGGCGTTCAGAAGCTGTACTCAGGGGAAATCTGTGGGGCTTGTTGGAGGTAAACATTTCATTTGCACTAGAGCCACCCTGCTGCTGTTCAGAGGGGGGTTATGGGGGGTCAGAGCTGTTTCAAAGCCCCCTTAGTGAGACCATTCAGGCATTCAGTCCCAGGGGTCCACAAGAACAAGATCGGTCTCTGCTCCGATCTTGTCTGTTTCCTTTTCACTTGGTTAATTTCAAGCATTCAAGTTAGTTACTTCTATTTTAGCATTTTCACTTTTATACCTAGTTCAGGTTTTATTTCTGGTTTAGTATTGTTTTAGACCTGGTTTAGTCTTGCGTCAGTCCTGGTTTAGTTCTGGTGGTTTAGCTGTATCAGGATCTATTAAATGTATTGACTGAACTTGTGGACATTGTGATCCATAAAGCGCTGCTGATTGATCTGGATAAAACCAGTCAAACACAACTATGCCCCAGAGTCTAGAGTTCAGACCTCTGGACCAGATCTAAACCTGGTTTAGTGTGGGTTTAGACCTCTGGGCTGGATCTAGACCTGGTTCAGACCCGGTTTAGACCTAGTTCAAAACTGATCTTGGACTGGTAACATCTGACAGTTCATCACACTAAAGAGGTGAATCACATTAAGGCTGGAACATGAATGTTTTCCATAGACTTATCATACAAAATCATCTGACAAAATAAATGTGTTTTCCTATTTCCCAGTGTATAGTACACAAGGTGGAACAGAGAATTTTACACTTTTGAGATGAGAGGGAAATAATAAAGGATTACTCAAACATCACTCAACAATGGTAACAACATTATAACAGGCTTAAAGCTCACAAGAAAACATTTTGTGTAATATAAGACCTTTAACCAGAAATTCCACCATAGAATACAGACCTGTCCTCCAACTCAGCTTTGTGGTTTCAGCACACAGCCTATTGTACTGTTGCTACAAAACAATCCAAAACCTGTCCACATGAAACCTGTTTTCCATCCAACGCGTAGGAGCCCACTGAGAGTTTCTCTAAACCCTTATTTTTTTTTGGCATAAAGACTTCATGCTGGCTAATCCTGACTCCCACTCACAGATGAACAGCTGTAAGGTCTACTGCTGCCAGTCCCTCACCGTCTGAACACCTGCCAAAGTCACTCCTCACCTGAACGCCTGCATGGTTCACTTCTGCTGTCAGAGTCACTCCCCACCTGAACGCCTGCCAGAGTCTCTCAACATCTGAACACCTGCATGGTTCATTTCTGCTGTCAGAATCTCTCACCATCTGAACACCTGCCAGAGTCACTCCTCACCTGAACACATAACAAGAGTCACTCCCCACCTGAACACCTGCCAGAGTCTCTCAACATTGGCGGGTGTTCAACCTGCCAAAGTCTCTCACCATCTGAACACCTGCATGGTTCACTTCTGCTGCCAGAGTCACTCACCACCTGAACACCTGCCAGTCACTCTCCAGCTGTACACCTGCATGGTTCACTTCTGCTGCCATAGTCACTCATTATCTGAAAAACTGTAAGATTCACTCCTGCCGCCAGCTTTGCTCACCATCTGAACAGCTGTCAGAGTCACGTTTAAGGTCTGAACAGCTGAAAGGATCACTTCTGCTGCCAGAGTCGCTGACCATTTGAAAAGCTGCAAGGCTCACTTAAGGTGCCAGTCACTCACTATCTGAACACTTGTAAGGTTCACCGCTGCTGTCATCTGAACACCTGGTGATGGTCAAAATCAGGACTAAACCTGGTCTAAACCAGGTATAAACCAGGTCTAAACCAGGAGGAAAACATATAGCATTACATAATCCTCCAGAGAGATAACCACCAATTTCCCGCCCACTTGAGCAGGAAGTAGAAAGATGTAAATAGGACAAAACCAGGACCCAAACCAGGACTGAACTAAGACTAAATAAGGTATAAACCAGCCCAGACTAAACCAGGACTATACCCTGTCTTGTCATATGAAAAATAATGGCATTAATTTACAGACACATAAGGCTCTTTATGTAGATACTCACTCCTCTGTAATAACTGGTGAAGGTGCATCAAAAGCCACAGCTGCCTGGGGGCAGACTGACAAAAAATGTGGCCATCATCACCAACTCAGACAGTCACACAAACAAACCCTGTAATACACATGAGTGAAGTGTCTTGCCCAAGGCCACAACAATATTACTATTATTGATACTTTGATTTATAGAGCTCTTTTTTGGCCATCAGTGGTGAATTACTACTGTAGCTATGGCCGCCCTGGGGCAGACTGACAGAAATGAGGCTGTTAATCTGCATCATCGCCCCATCCAACCATCACAGACACACTACATTCATACTAGGTCAAGCGAGGGAAATGCTTTGCCTAAGGACACAACAACAGAGCCACTGCTGCCTCACTGTGGCACCTGATTTTCCCAGTGGTCTCCCATCCAAGTACTAACCAGGCCCAGTCCTGCTTAGCTTCAGAGATCAGACAGTTTGGAGATTCTCAAACTGCAACAGGCAAACTTTATTGTACCTGCATGATCATTATTTTATTATATTTTTACTATATTTGATTATTATTGCTCATTGTTGTGTTTGCACTAAATTGACAAAGCACATTCCTTAGTGTGTCATTTTTTGTTGTCATTCCAAATAATATTCATCCATCAGATCAAAGACTACCAGAAAGACCAGGACTAAACCAAGACTAAGCTAGGTCTAAACCAAGTCTGAACTAAGTCTCACCCAAGTCTCACCCAAGTCTCAACCAGGACGACACCAAGACAACATCATAACTAAACCAGGGCTAAACTGCGACTACACCGGGGCTACATCATGACTAACCTATGCTTCCTCCCCTTGCCTCCTACCTCCTTCCTTGCGTCCTTGTCTCCTCTCTTTGCTGCATGTTTAATTCAGAGCTTAGTTATGGCACTTCAGTACTACAAAGAGCTTCTTCCCAATCTTACTACTCACTACCAGCCACCTGGGACCGGAGCAGAAACTGGGTCAAGCACGCACAAGGAGGAGGGTTCGGAAAAGCAATGATACTGGGAAATTTTAATCAATCCAATCTGATCTCCCAATACTGATCTGACTGTACTGGGAGAAAAACACACTTTACCAACTTCAGCTCAGTAAATATTGAGGAGCCAGACATTTATTTACATTTATTACATTTATTTAAAGGTGTAACTCAATATGTAACTTTTCTGGTGAGGGGTGCGCTACTTGTTTGCTTTGCCTTGGATGTTCCATAGTATGACATTGTTGTTGTTTGTTTTTTAGTTTATTTTACAAAGATCATGTACAGGGACAGTAATCAAAGAGACACTGAAGTTGCATGTAATTATAACAGATTATAACAGATTATAACAGATTATAACAGAGCTCATTTCCTTCTGCAGTCCCTGAGACATACAGAACACAGAATACACAAAAATAAAACATTGCAATCTAAACACAAATAATGATACAAAATTACTCTTGAACACTCTTAATCATACTTATAATTTCCTCATTTTTTTAGCAATGACATATCTCGCATTAAAAAACAGACTGCACTTATTTAAAGCTACAGGGTTATAACTGTTACTGTGAAAGTGTATAATGGAAGGTGCACAGATCAGCTCTCCTGTTGTAGTTCCAACTAAAATCAGCTCTTTCTGATCAGACTGTGTTAAAACCAAAGATCAGGTTAAAGTCTAAAAAGAGTAACAGAGCTTCAGACAGAGCAGTGCCTGCAGTTAGTTTCACCCCTGAGAAATGTTGATTACATCAGCTGAAAGCATATACAACACACTGAATGAAGAAAAACAAAAAGAAGCCACTTTAAATGGACAGTTCGGAATTTTAGACATAGGGCCTCATTTCTTAGTTAGCACAGACACCTACATCACCTGCAGAAAAAATGACAAATTATTAAAACAAATTTAACATTGAATTTGAGTGGATTGTTTAGTTGAACTGACTGTGAAGAAGATCTGAATACAGGTCCTGATGTTTTTCCTCGGTCAGATTTTGGTAATCAGCTCCACCAGTTTCATCATTACTAAAAAAATACAATTATTTATTTATTACTTAAAGGTCTTATATTACATAAAATTGACTCTTGTGAGCTTTAAGCCACGTATAATGTTGTCACCTCATCAAAAACATAACCAAAGTTATGTTTTGTTTCATTCACACATGTTTGAGTAATCCTGGTTTATTAGTCTGTCTACATCTCCAATGCTAAAAATGCTCTGTTCCACGTTGTGATGTCACGAAGCAGTAATTTTCAAGTTAACAGCTACATTTCACATTTACTTCGGTGGAGCTTGGCAATTCCAGGTCTGAAATCATCCAAATTATTCTAGTGAAAGTGTATGGGTTTTAAAAACAGCAGAGCACTTTTTGTATTACCACATGACATCACAAGGTGGAATCGAGAAAGAAAAACTCATCCTAAATATGCAGGGTTTGTGTGTTAAACATGTGTGTAAGAAACAAAACACAACTCCAGGTCTGTTTTTGATGAGCAGACAACATTATAACATAGATCAGAAAATAGAGTAATATGGGCCGTTTAATTGATACACATACATACTGACAACTATATTGAAATGAACTGATAAAGCCAACCTGTTCTGACGTCCTTCTGTAATAATCAAAATAATAATAATAATTATAAGAACGACTTGTGCGTTTATAAGTATATATATATATATTTTTTGCTTACCTCTAGTTTTCTTGTACCGACACAAGATCAGAGGGAAGAGGATGAGCAGAACAGCAGCACATACAACTCCAATGATAATGGAGGATATGTCTAAAACAACAAATACAAGGTTTTAAAGAAGACAAATTGTGCTTGTGTCTGCTATATAGTTAAATATATGAATGAATAATTATGGAAGAAGTATTTGATTTTATTACTTAAATAAAAGTACAGATACCAGGTCAAAAAAGTACCTATTGTGAAAAAAAAGAGTAAAAACTAAAGAGTAAAAAGTAAAAGTACTTTGCAGATTCTGAGATCTAATAAAGCTTCAAATGTAATGATTTTGATAAAGATTTGTGCTGACTTTTATTCAATTGAATCAATAGTTGTTTTTTTTCCCTGGCTGTTTATATTTGTATATTTTTTGTATGTTAAAAATAAACTTTCAGCCTTTTTAGTTCAGTTCAAAAATGTAGTGGAGGGGAAAGTACAGAAACCTCTCAAATGTAGTGAAGTAAAAGTAAAAAGTATCCACTGAAGTAAGGTACAGATACCTAAAATTTGTACTTAAGTACTACTTTGTTACGTTTCACCACTGTACTTTGGACTTTTTGTATATTGATTTAAAACAGCTTTATAAAAGAAACCCGTCTGCTGACTTCCACATGACAAAACTGTAGTGCTCAATGGGAACAAAAATATGTTTTTACATTTGTACCAAAATAGCTCTGCGACGCTGCTGTACCCTACATGTTTCACAGATTAAGAAGTAAATACAGAGCGGTGGTGAAAAATGTAAATGAGAAGAAAAACAGTTATAACATGTTTAAAAGTTCTGAAAAGTCCACTAAATCTGTTTTTTAAAAATTACAATTTCAAATAATACTTGCTGTACACTGTGTCATTTTTCTGGTCAAGGGTTTGCTTGTCTTTATTAAGATATTCTTGTTTTGTCTTGTTTGTTCCAGTGCATCTGTCTTCATAATAGAAACAGGAGACATAGGCTTAGGTACAGTCAGATCTGTGGAGAGGCGACCCTGTTCACTGCACAAATGCATGTTTTTAGTTGTTTAGCAATAAAACTATTCCCAAAATAGAGTAACTGCAGGGGATATGTTTAATGCCAAAATATAGAACATTTCCAGAAAATCAGTTGCATTTCCATGGAGACAAGTCGGTAGAGACCCCCCCCCCCCCAACAGAAAAGTTACACAGTGCACCTTTAATAGAATAGGAAAATTACATTTGTCAGCAGGACAAAAGTAAAACGGATGTTTCTTCTAATTTTATCTTTGTTTGAAATACTTGTATTTACAAGAAACATTTATTTGACTTGTTACCACAGCACTACACAAGTAGGCCTACAGTTCTGCCATAACCATGTCTTATCTTTGACAGCTCTTCTAAGATTATTGACCTATTTCCTGGATGCTGATCGGCTCACTGAACGCTGTGTGGCAGATTGGGCTTCCTCTCTCTCCTCTGCACCAATAGCGCCCCCTCTCGGAGACATTCAGCACTGCCTCATCTGTGGTCTGCAGCAGAGTGGCCTGTGTGTCTTTGTACCAGTAAAACTTCCATCCAGATGAAGACGGACTGACGGAGCAGCTCAGTGTCACTGTGCCCCCTGCTGGTAAAAAGGTGGTATCTGCACTCACTGTGGCCTTGGGGTTGACTGTGGATAAAAAAAAAAAAAAAGTACATTATTTATTTAAATTTTAACAAATAGATGAAACAAAACTAAACAAAATTAAACAAAATCACAAATGCTCTTTTGTAATATAATCACATTGTGGTTACAAATATTAAGTACAGTTAGAAGACCCTGTACATCTGCACCTGTGCCAACCTCTGGAGCATCTGGGCTCTAGTCGCCTATTATATTTATAAAAGGGTGTAGGTCTTACATGTTGCTAACTGCTTCTACTAGTATAGCATGCTATATATCATTGCTTTTATACTTCAATAAACAACAACTCTTTCTTTCATTGTATGCCAAACAAACACTTTCCAATTCCTCTTCTTCAAAATAAACCCCCTTTCCCATCCATTTCTGACCAGGCATTGTGTTTGGGTAATAAAAAAGGGCCTGCAAAGCAAACTATCTGTTGACCTGTTTTTGCGCTCAAAAGTATCCACAGGGCGATGGATTCACACATCACAGTGCAGACTCACTCCTCCTGATCTTTCCAAAGAGATTCGACATTCTTAAACTCTATATCTGCTTCCACATGGCGCTTTCTTTGTGGTGGCACTTCCACTTAATTGGAAATCCCATTCATTTCAATGGAGAATTTGAGAAAAGGTTTATTGCTAAAATATGATATAAAGCAGGTTGATTTGTGTAAAATGTTCATTGTTCATGTGAACACTTTTTGGTCAATATGATGATATTGCATGTGACTTACCTATAACAGTGACTGGTGGACTCCAGTCTGTAAAAACATATCTGTTGAATGTCCATCTGCACCAGTATTCTCCAGAATGGGCCTCTGAAGCGTTTCTGATTTCAAACTTCTCCCGTGATGGAGGGATGTCATAAGATCTGGTGGTTTTCCATTCATACAACCAGAGAATAGGTCTGCGCTGTTCATTGACTTCACATGTCATACTGATGTTCTCTCCAGGACAAAACTCTGAGTTTTGAACTTTTATTGTGGCTTTGTTTGATACTGTGGAAAAACACACACAAAAAATACACTGAACAGCTCAACTAAATGAAACTCCAATTAAACCGCATTGTATTTCCCCACTCACTTATTTCCTCTATGTAGACTGCATTACTGTATTCAGTGAAGAATTTACTTAGATTTAGGGCAGGCTCTTGTTTTATCCCTCTGCATCTGTATGTTCCAACATCATGCGTAGAGATGGTTTGAGCTTCTTCAAACTTGTGCCCATAGTCTGAGCTGTCTATAAACCATTCGTACGTCCAGTCATGATCAGGGTCATTGATAGAGCAGGTCAGATTAGGGAATGTATATGTCCCCCGCAGCACAGTGTCTCCATGTGCAGTCAACACAGCCCGGGGTTTGTCCGCTGTTGGGTTCAGAGATAAAGTCAGAAAAGTTTACACCTACAATAGACAGAGCTTGTGTCAAAAGTCAAGTCGTCATGACCTCAAGTGTCTACATCATCTTTATCATAAGCAGCATACATGCTGAACAGTGAGAGACTGTATTGCACCATCAGGTATCAAAATGAACACATTATATAAATAGGCTACACCACTGCACTTTAAATGATGACCTTAAGTTTAAATTCTGCATCACACATTTGATGTTAAGAGTTGAAATTCTTACCAATTACAGAGACAGAGATCACATTACTCTTTATGGCCAGATTTGTGAAGTCAAGTGAAGGAGCAGTACACTGGTAATCTCAACTCATGTCCACTGTCAGGTTTTGTAGGATAAAAGAGCAGTAAACACTCCACTGTACCAAGTGTCCATTCCTCTGTAGAGTCAAGTTTCAGTGCCTACCATGTACGTCACAGTCAAATCTAATAGTCTCTTCAATGTAAAAACAAGATCTTCGAGAGGAAATGTACAGCTTAACACCTAAAATACAAATAAAAACACTTTTACACAGTTCAAATAAGTCTATACAAATAAAATGTGTTTTACCCTTTGCATCCTCCGTCATATCCAAGCTGAACAACACTAAAATTCAAACATGTTATAAATAAAAGTCATTTTTATCTCATCACATGTTCTCAAAAGCACCATACTCACCAGCTGATTGCAAATTAATCAAAATTAAAATGCTGATTAAAATCTGCAGCATCCTTACAGCAGACAGGATCAAGAACAGTGCAGCTAAAGTGGACAATGCTTCACTAGAGATGTTAAGGAGGAAATACAATCATTCACACTTACAGTATGTACTTATGTACATGCAGCAATGGTCAACCGGATATTAAAGCAGAAGAACCCAAATAGATTGTGATGAGCTGAGGTTTCTGAGGAGAGTTGAGTGGGCGGATCAGAGGCTCACAAGGTTTTGTTTACATCAACCTTAATCTTTGCACCTTCTTTTTCACACTGACATATTTCACACTTAAAGAAGGAAATAAACACTTCCTGTAACAGCCCAGCAGAGTTTGAGGATTTTTAGAATTATGAACACCAGAGGGCATACTTTTGTGCAAAAAAATAAAAAAAGACACAATTAAGATTCATTTAACTAATTTCACCACGTTTTACCACATGCAACAACAAAAAACATACAAAACAAAAAATCAGACCAACTAAAAGTGTAAAGTTGTTTATAATTTGGGACGTGCAATTGTACATGCAAATAGACTCAAGAACACAACTTCAATATACAAACTGAAAAGGGTCTCATAGAAACCACCAGCTAAAATAGTCAGCCATTCTTAGGGATAAAATCACAATGTGTGCAGTCTGTATCAATTTAAGCAATGTTATTGACTGTGAACCAGGAAGTAACACTGGTGCACAATTAGCATGCTAGTTATTGTCAGCTGTAGTGTGATAGTGTGACACCCAAACAAAACAAAAACTCTTTAAAATGAAATCGAACTGATTTTAAGACAGAAAACATATATCATTTGAAGATCCTATATTACACAAAATTGCCATGTTATAATGACCTGGTCAGCCAGAAGCACAGGCTTAACAAAACAAAACTTCACCATTTACAAAGACGAGTGGATATGGAGCCTTAACCTGTCTCCCTGATTTCAGACCGAGTCATTGACAGGCAGATTATTCAATCAGAGAGAGGCACAGTCTGTTTGCGTCAAAACCAAAAATGTCTGTTTACACATTAAAAAGGAGAAAAAATATCTGACAGTGTAAATTTTTACAGAATCAACAATGGAAGCACCAAAATATTACTTATCTCAGGTAATAGAAGTTATATATTTTGTTCTGAATATTACAAGAATTTTCGAGAGCACATGTTGATGGACACATGATTCAAATCTGCTTCTGTGGTTGGATCATCTAAAATTTGGACGGTGTTTTGTCACCCTCTATGTTTCGGTTCCAGTCCCTTCTACATTGTGTAGAAAGGCCTGGCTGGTCAGACAAATGTTATAATGCTGTTACTTCCTCAAAAACATATCCTGGTTTATTAGTTTGTTTACATCCCCAAATCTCAAAATGCTCTGCTCCACATCATGATGTCATTAAGTGATCTTTGTAAAGTTAACAGCTCCTTTTACCTTTGCTGCTATGGGTATGAGCCGCCCACTGGAGAGCTTATGAGGACACCACCAGGACACTTTATGGTTCAAGTACAACAAATTTGTCACAGTAATATGTTAGCAGTTTATGTTCTCAAATGTATCAGGGTTCTGTCTCATCAAACTGCAACACATGTTAAAAAGTAAAACAAAAAAGCACGCAATATCAAATGTAAACCCACATGAAACATTACACAAGGCTATGCAACATGCTTGTCAGGCATTTGTGTCACAGGTAGACTATATCTGAAGTGGAACCCCTTCGTCAAAGCCGTCTCCATCCTGCCAAGAACGGAAATGAGAAGGTTAAGATTCAAGATGCAAGGATTTATTGTCATTGTCACAAGTAACAACAAAATTAGTAGTGTAAAAAGAATCAGTGCAATTCATAAAGTGCAAATACTGGATTGTAAATATATACACAGTTGAAGTATTTACAGCAGTAACACAATAACAGGGCATAGAGGCAGAGGTACAGCAGTATAAGGTGCTGGTGACTTTGTTGCATCAGTGCAGAGTCCAGTTCACAGTTCTGGCAGGTGTGGGGAGTGGAGGGCTATAAAGAGTATGCCTTTGTCCCATTTTGAAACTCACTAATTTAATTTCACACATTCTGTCATTCTCAATACCCAGTACAGTTACAATAATTCCTGGTTCTTTTTGTTAATCATCACATTAGACATTGTTTCTTTAAATGTGCTTTATTTGTTAATTCATTTCAGTTTCCATTCATCATACTCACCTGCAGCTCAACATGGTCCAGAACCTTGAAGGAGGTCGAGGGCTGGACCATGTGGACAGGAGAACTGGTTTAAGTTCTGTTTCATTATTTTTGTGTATTTGGTTTTATAGTTATATAGTTTATATAGATATTTATAGCAAAGCAGGTGTTGGCAAAGAGGGGAGAGACTTCTGTGCAGATTGTTTTCCTTTGATTTGAGTTACTTATTTTCTGTTTTTTTGTACTTTTGTTTGTGTTAACTTCAGAAGTCGGTTTTAAAATAATTTTTTGTCTGGTTAAAGACATTTTTGTTGTTGTCTGCCTCCTACTTTGACCACGTCGGTCCAACTTCCCCACGGGGTCCTCGGTGGAAGGAGAAAGTGCTTGTTAAAGATTGTGATCGCCTGGAGGTTAGGGGCTGTTGGCCATTCTAGTGGTTCTGACCTGAAGTGACCTGTACCTCAGTCTGAAGGCAGCAGCTGGACCAGACGGTGGGTGGGAGGTCCCAGAGGATGTTGTGAGTACGGCACAGGCAATGGGAGGTGTACACGGTGACAGACTCCAATAAGTCAGATGACCCCATGATTTTTCCAGAGCACCTCCTTCCTTCCTCCCAAAACTGTACACAAGTATTTTCAAAATAATTTAACTGAAGTGAAAGTAGACAGTAGAAGTGGTGTGTTATACTGACAGTCAGCAAAATTAAAACTGTGTAACACACTGCTCCTCGTTGTTTATTCCACTTAAACTAGGCATGTCCAAACTATGGCTCATGGGCCAAATGCGGCCCTCAGATACATTTTTTCTTGGCCCTCAGGTTTCCAGGTGAATTGGCCCAAATTACCTTGCATCTTTTTTTTTTTTTTTTTTTTTAATTAATTAATTAATTAATTAATTTTAGTAATTTATTTATTTAATGAGACAGGGACAGTGTACAATTTTTACATTAACCTTAACAGGAGAAATGCATTGTACCAGGGTGTAGCACCAGTGTTATTTTTCTCCTGTAGTTGCAGGTTAAATGATTGATTGTATTTAACTGACCTTAGCTATCAACTGTTCTTCCTGGAGACCTATGTAGCATGTTTTGGATTGAAAAATGTACTTTTTACTGCAATTTTTTTTTGAAAATCTACCTTGAAAAAGCTAATATTTAATATTTAGTGTGTGGTTTTAAGGATTTTAGCATGAATAAAGACTGATGGCTCATGGCTTGTAACATGTTTAAACATGCACATATTTCAATTATTGACTGTACTGAGCATCAGTCTACGGCCCTTGATCAGCCCTCCGCTTTGTCTGTGTTTAGATAATGCGGCCCTTGATGAAAAAAGTGGGACTCCCCTGACTTACACCATGGTCCCACAAACTGAAAATAGTCTACTTTTAAATTATAATTTTGGCTGTCCGTAGATCTTCAAAGGATTATGCTTTATTTCTGCTTTAGTTGAGTCCTTCCTAGCAGTAGTTCATTTGTTCACCCGTTGGTATGGACTAAAGCGTATATAACTGTATAAAGACGTGAAGTTAATGTGGCGTCACCAAATGATTCTTGCCCAAACCAAACCTGGAAGTACATTTTTAATGGGCTACCTGTTGGATATTTTTAAACCAAGTTCAGCTGGGCCTGATGTATAATCCAAAACACCAAAATAAATATATGTAAAATAAATACTAAAAGCAGTAATTTGCAAAAAATGAAGAAGGTTAAGATTCAAGATGCAAGGATTTATTGTCATTGTCACAAGTAACAACAAAATTAGTAGTGTAAAAAGAATCAGTGCAATTCATAAAGTGCAAATACTGGATTGTAAATATATACACAGTTGAAGTATTTACAGCAGTAACACAATAACAGGGCATAGAGGCAGAGGTGTCAGGTAGTGTGAAGATTGGCTCCAAAAGACCCAGAGTCAACGCAGTATTAACAGGTTTTTAATAAATCCAAAAGGCTTGCAACAAACACAGAAACATCCAAAGAACAGAAAGACAATCTGACAAATGGGGGAAGACACGACACAGACTAAAAAGGGGAGCTAATGGGACACAGGTGCAGCACATTAGGGCGGGGCAGTAATCAAAGGCGGGAACACAAGAGGGAGGAAGTAAATCTGCAACAGAAAACAGGATAAGTAATAACAAAATAAAAGGGAACAGACAGGACATGACAGTACCCCCCTCTATGGGCCGGCACCCGACGGCCCAGGATCCTGAGGGTGGCGGCGGTGAAAGTCACTAATAAGGTCCGGATCCAGAATATTACTGGCAGAGACCCACGATCGTTCCTCAGGACATAACCCTCCCAGTCGACCAAATACTGGAAACCCCTGCCCTTTACGGCGAACAGCCAGTAACCGCCGAACAGAGTAGACAGGCCCCCCATCCATGATCCGGGGGGGGTGGTGGGTCTGGTGGCAGGGACCAAAGAGCTATCCTTGACTGGCTTCAGGCGGCTGACGTGAAAGGTAGGATGGACACGCATGGACTTAGGAAGTTGTAACCTCACAGCTACAGGATTTATCACTTTGATACTGGGAATGGACCAACAAAAGCGTGGGGCCAACTTGCGAGACTCCACCCTCAGTGGTAGGTCCTTTGTGGACAGCCAAACCCTCTGGCCAATCAGGTAGGTGGGTGCAGCGCGTCTCTTACGATCAGCAGCTCTTTTATAAACGTCCGAACTCTGGAGCAGTGCGTGGCGAGCCCTTGACCAAGTGCGACGGCAGCGACGAATAAGAGCTTGGGCAGAGGGCACATCAACCTCTCGTTCCAGGGCTGGGAACAGAGGCGGCTGATAGCCAAAAACACACTTGAACGGGGACAACCCTGTGGATGCGTTAGGCAGAGTATTGTGAGCATATTCGAGCCATACCAACACTTTACTCCATGAGGAAGGATTCTGAGAGGTAAGACAGCGCAGTCCCGTCTCTAGAACCTGATTCACTCGTTCAGTCTGTCCATTGGTTTGGGGATGGTGACCAGAAGACAGGCTCACAGTGGCTCCAAGAAGAT